TATTTGATAACGTTTTATTATTTATTAAATAATTGTTTGAATCATGTTCAGTTTTGGAAACAAATTCTTTCTTCTTTTGAAATCCCACTAACTACATACCCTTCAATACTTTAAAGCCAAAATCTTCCTGGATGCCATCTTCCTATTTCTTATCTGAAGAGCATGGCAGCCATTTTGGTTGTCTTTATCTCATACATATCACACACATTTGGTTGTCTTTATCTCATACAATTTCATGCTGTGGTTCCCCTGTGAGTGATTTTTGGGGGACATTGTATGACTTGGGTGCTGCGAAATATCGCAGCCCCCCCAAATAAATAAATGCTTTTGGGGGGGAATCGCACAAGATCATAACAACCAAAATCAACGCTGTTCTCTCACAATAAAAAAATGGGATGTCCTGGTATTTCTGGGACATTTGCAGCGTATCTAACTATGGTTTTTAAAACTCCCATTGCAATTGAACTGATGCAGCAGGCATTCCATGATTCAGTGAGGAGAAAGCCACAGATGATAGAAACATCAGTTTATGAAAGGCTGCTTATGGCCCACTGTAATTCTGTGACCCGCTTTATTCTGAACAAGCCTGATCTATGCTAATACCACCTTCACCTCAATGCTAGCTGGGAAAAGAGAAGGATACAGGCTGATGCCCAAAGTGGCTACATTTTAAGCCAACTTCTTGTGGGACGGTTTCCATCGTTCCTGGGGCTAGCCCAAGACATTTTGCTGCCTAGTCGAAGAACAAGCAAGTGGCAGTTGAATCCTGCTTGAGCTCTCATGGTGGGATAGCATTTCCCACAGCATCTGAGGAAGCAGGCCAGATTGCGGCCTCCAGGACAGGCCAATGGAAATACAAAGGGGAATGGCGGTAGGGTCCTCAGGAGGAACAGTCAATGGGCTGTCACTGCTGCCTCCTAGCACCTACTGCCTGAAACTCGTTCTGCCGAATAATAGAGCTGCCCTTGGTAGGGTCAGCCTCAAAGAAATATCTGTTGCAGTTCTTAATGCATCGTGCAAGGATGACTCTTAGAATTTGCTCTTTGTTATTTTTCTCATTGCTAGTAATGGGAAACCTGAAAGAAAAATGCAGATCCTGTAATCTGTCCTGCAACTGGAAAGATTTAGGATGAAAAAGTAAACAAACAAGGCAATCCATATTTTTATTATGTTCTGCTCAGTAACAGTCAGGATTTTTTTTTTTTTTAAGATTCATGTTTATTTTTCCTATTGCTGCAGAACCTTTTATCCCATTATTGTCTTCTGCTTCTTTTAGGTTTGTTTAAATAAACAATGAAATGGCAACAATATAGACCCACTTTTACACTTGGGCCTTTTGTTCCCTCCACTGCTGTTTGTTTCTTCGGAAGAGTGACTTCTAACTGCAGTTTTGAACGTTCTGTGACATGGTAGATGGAGGCTTTCTGGAGGAAGTGGAGAAATCAAGACAGAATACAAAGGGTACTCATCTTATGTATTTGATACCGCTTTCGGTAGGTGTGCTTTTTTTTAAGGAAAAGAAAAACCAGAAATCCCAGTTGATTCACACATTTCTCCTTTTCCTCCTCCCTATCCTTCATCACCATACTCTGTTGCTTTTTTATCTTACCTTTTTGCTACAGCAGCAGTGGCTAATCTGCACCCCAGGGGACATACCTGGCCTCCTAAGCAAAGGGTTTTGTCCTACTCCAAGACTCCACTGATTTTGGCAGCAGCAGCAAAATGAACAACAAATAAATAATTTTATTCAGCCCAGATTGGGTTGCAATTAATCCTCTCTCTGATCATCAGATTGGTGATTTGAGGAATGGCAAGGGAATGATAGCATGGATCAGATGAAGATGGGGAATTCATGTGTGTGTGTATATGTGTGTGTGTGTGTGTGTGTGTGTGTGTGTGTATTCATACTATCTGTGCTGTGTGCATGTGCATTCAAGAGAGTGGGGCAGCCACACCTGCTACTGGCATGTGGCCCCTGTAGAGTCAATGAAGAGTGAATGTGGTCCCCAGGTCAAAGACAGGTAGCTCCCCCTGCTCTAAAGCAGGAATGGGGAATCTATGCCCCTCCAGATTTTATCGGACTCAGTCTCCCATGATCCCCACCCAGCATGGATGATAGCAATTGTAGTCTAACAATAAGGCCACAGGTTTCTATCCTTGCTCTAAAGAGGTTAGGGCATGGCTCTTCCTATCTCATTTAATCCTCACAGCAGCCCTCTGAGGTAGGTTAAACTGTTTCATGGCTAAACAGGGGTTTTGGAACAAAGGTCCAAAACTCTGATCACATCTCCACACTGGCATAGGTGTGTGGCATTGTGCAGCAGTAGTAATTCAGAGCCTAACATTGCTAGGTGCTGTTCTTTATTATTATATTATTAAAACACTTGCATGTTCAGTAGTATCAAGTGATGACTTGCATGTGGGAATCAACCATCCCACGACCTGGTGTCAAATGAGGTCCAATAGTTTTCAATTGAGACAGTTCACCCTATGATAAGTCATCAGCTTAGGACATCAAGTGATGCTTATGCTTGCATGAATCGACATTTACGGTAAGTTGCTGCCGCAGCTCACTCAGAAACTGCAATGCATCATTAAAGGAATTCTTGAACTTTTTGACGACACATTAATAACGCTGGGGAGGAGGTCTTGAAATGTCAGCATTCGCATAATAAGATACACATGATCATTAAGAGCAATAGGAGCTATTGGAACATTTGACAAACAACACGCAGTAAACTTTTAATATGGTTTCTCTAAAAAAGAAAATGTGCTCCATAACACTCTCTCATTATAGAAGTGCATAAACAAAGCCACTTCACCCCTAAATAGCATTGCTAACATAGTAAAGAATTGACATTCAGTTTTCAAAGGCAGAAATGTTGATCTCGTTGTCCTTGTCAAGTTCCCAGAAATGTGTGTGGTTGTAAACCAGGAGATATCAAGATGTGTAGTGCTTGATTCTAATCTTCCTTACACTGGGTTTACTGAGTTCTATGGCTAGATCCATTATTATACCACTATAAATGAGACTGGTGTCAGGTCACTCCATGAAAGTAATGTTAAAACTCCAGGCCAAGTTCAAGCTGAACTGAAGTCATGACTTATACAGAGGAAAGAAAGCATCTGGAGCTTCAATAGTTAGTGATACTGAGGAGTACTGCACTTAACTAGATCAGGGAGGAGAGAATCTCTCAATTTCAGTTTCTCATTTTTCAAATCTTAAGTTGAGTTCTCCACACTGTCACATTGGTCTGCATTATATATATAAAAAAAAAATTCATGAAAATTTGCCAGCATTTTAGGGTGAATTTCTCCTAATATACACATTTTCACATACAATTTTGCCTAATGTACACATTTTTGTGTATTCATCTCAAGCTTTCTGTTCTATTGTTTCCTTCAGACATATTACCTTATCCCAAGGTACAGCCCTCCAGAGGTTTTAAACTTCAGCTCCCAGCAGCCACAGCAGTTAGAGATCATGGGAGTTGTTGTGGACTCCGGAAAGCACTTCTGGATTATCCGTCCCTGCTCTTTGCTCCTGGTACACTGTGGTATATGGACCAGCTTTGGATTGTGGATCAGTGACCTTCCTGTTTCGAGTTTCTCTACAAAAAAAGTCATAGCATGATGCACATTAAACTCTCAAATGGTAAGCATGCTTGCCTAGTAAGACTTAAAATGTGCCTGATTTGGGTCTCACCCATCTTTCCCCCTCCCAACTAAAGACATGTGTCTGATTTGCTGCAAGTTTTCATACACCAATTTGCTTTATGAAAAACACAGTTTTCTCTTATGGAAAATCCCAACATTTTCTTAAAGGGATGAACACAACATCCAACCCAACACATTAAATGAAAGTTCATAACAATCCATTTTTATAGTCAAAGCAGCACTTGAAATAAAAAACCATACTACATACTAAATATTTAGTATTACTGCTAAATTATAAATAATACTAAACATATATAGCAGTATCACTGTGCTTTAGTAACACTGACACACACACACACACACACACACACACACACAAACACACACTTGCTCTCTCTTCCCCTAAGAACATCTAATTTAAATTTTTAAAATTGAGAAAACTATATAGGGAGGAGTGGGGAGCAGAAATACATATGGACAGGGTGGGTTTTTGTGAGACATATTTTAGTAGATAAAACAGTGGGTATAGCCTGGAAAGTATGCATGAACATAACCCAAATTTGTGGGTGGTCACCATGCCATGCTCAGTGTAATAACACTTATTCAATAGTGTGCTGCAGCATTTGAGAATTGAGCCACATTGTAGGTGGCAAACTTGCACTGATCATTTATGAAAAAATCTATTTTTATAATGAATGGAAACATTCAGAAACCTTTTCCAGCAGAGACTCCCATAAAAGGCCCAGAAGAGTACCGTAGGTATGAGTTTATTTCAAGTTCAGTTTCTCCAGGTTTCTCATTTTCCCACTCCTACATTCAGTTCTCTGGATTTCAACATCCGTTTATATTTTTGAAAAAAGCTTTTGAAAGTTCACTGCATTTTAGTCCGAATTTATTCTAATATGCACAAGCTTCTATGCCTAATTTTGCAAAGCAGTTTCCCTTTATGTAACAAATTCTTGTAAGTGATGTGTGTGTGTGTGTGCATTTCTATGCACACTTTATCTCAGTATGTGCAGTTTTGTACACATTAATTGGCCAGACAACTGCACTGTGAAGTTCAGAGAACGGCGACTTTCAAAGGATGGATGTGTGAATAAAATCCACACACCCCATCCATATGAAAGAGTTAACACACACACACACACACACAAAATGCTGCAAGAGAGATTCCCAGAGATGCACATACTGGAAGGAAAACAAGGAGTCCTGGCCCTTTCACTGGAGTCACCAGGGGGTGGCAGCCTAAGGCATGCTTTTGCTGGGCATGCTTGTATTTTCTGTGAAAGCAGGAAACAGATGTCCTGTTTTCTCAGATGTTGGTGCTGTGGTCTTTGCCCAATGCTAATAATAATCAATTTGCAGCAAACTCCTCTCTCTCTCTCTCTCTCTCTCTCTCTGTGTGTGTGTGTGTGTGTGAGAGAGAGAGAGAGAGAGAGAGGGGCCTTTTGTAAAACAGATAAAGATTATAAATTCAGATGGAAATAACACCAGCTTTATTTCTCTGCAAGCCCAATATTTCAGCAAACTTCATCTTTTGCTGTACTTTTGTTGAATTAATGACTCAGACCCAGATATGCTTCCACTCCATCCCAAAGCTTCATTTGATGCTGCTCTGGGGGAGAACATAACAGAGACTATGCTGGCAAGGGAAAAGATGGGTTTTGAATTGTGGATTTGTTGAATCTGGGTTTATTGAGAAAATGACGCTAATACACCGGAATTGCTAATAAATGAATTATGCTCATGATATGCAAATTCATAGGAAGCAATTCATAAATGAAATTATTAATTGTAACAAGAAAATTGGATAACTTTATAAGAATAATAAATCATCTTTCACACACATTTCTCAAGGCAATGTACAAAACTGGTTCCAATAGTTTTATTAAATGGTTGTGAGAAACTTCTGACATTTAAGGTTTAAAATGGAACAAGATACCTATGAAGACTGTGGAATCCCTTTCTTCCATGATGCTTTAAATTTAAGATTTCTTGTCTCAGGAAAGGAAGGTTTATTAAATGACCAGAGGGCTTCCTTTCAACAATAAGGGTTAGCTCATGTGGTTAAAATGGCCTCCATGTGAGGCATCAAAACAGCTTTCAGCAATGTAACTGTGTGAGAACAAAATGAGTTACCCAGTCAGTGTACATCCACTTTGACCCAGCCGGGACTGCTGAGTGGAAATTGCTGCTGCTGTATTAGCAGATGGGTTAGTGAACACAATATATCCTGCCTGCAGACTAAGCAATGCATTTAGTCTGCACCACATAGAGGCAGTTTTGGCTATGCTACCATCCCTAAGACCATCTACAGTTGCACCATTGCAGTTATCATTCTATTGTGAGTAGTCAGGATACCAGACTAATGGAGAAGTAAGCTTTAGCATTACTTAAGCCTTTTGAGCAGTTGGTTCTATCTTGTTTAATAGAGCATCACTCTTTTGCACTGATTCAGGTATAGTTGTGCTGTTTTAACAAAACTAATGCAAATTCAGTAAAGCTGAAAAAACCTGGCTTTATAGAATCACCCAAAGGGCCACATAGTCCAACCCCCCCTGTAATGCAGGAATCTCAACTAAAACATCCTTCCAACCCTTTCTTAAAAACCTCAAATGAGAGTCCATCACCTCCCGAGGGAAACCGGCCAATGTCAAACGGTTCCTACCATCAAGAAGTTCCTCCTAATGTTTAGTTTGAATCTCATTTCTTGTTACTTGAAGCCATTGGTTCGGATTCTACACTTCAGAGCAGGAGAAGACAAGCTTGCTCTATCTTTCATGTGACAGCCCTTTAGATATTTTATTATTATTATTATTATTATTATTATTATTATTATTTCAAGAACATATTGCAGAACACACCCACAATAAAACACCAGTCTGGAGGGGCCCTTAAGTATTGTTTTTGAATTTATGGTCAGCCCAAATCCTTTGTGTCTTGGTTCAGAGAGACAGACAGAGACCATACCCTCCAACATTTCTCTGACGAAAATAGGAACGTCCCATTCCATACTGATAATTTTACTATTTATACCCCACACATCTTACTGGGCTGCCCCAGCCACTCTGGGCAACTTCCAACATATATAAGAAAACATTAAACATTAAAAAAAACCCTTCCCAATACAGGATTGTCTTCTGATGTCTTCTAAAGGTTGTACAGTTACGTATCTCCTTGGCTTGTGGGTTGCATAATTCCACGCCCTCCAATGAAAATAGGCACGTCCTACCATATCCTCCAACATTTCTCCTATGAAAATAGGGATGTTCTAAGTAAAAGTGGGACATTCCGGGATCAAGACTGAAACTGGGATGGCTTCTCTAAATCAGGGATGCCCCTGGAAAATAGGGACACTTAGAGGGTCTGAGAAAGAGACTTGTATCTACGTACATAACTCAGTCTCATGGGAACTAGACAGGTTCAATTTCCAATTCACTTTACAGAATAAATTGAGTTCTAGAGACTCTAGGTTTCCTTTCTGGAAGGATCCTTTTAACTGAAGATTCTTGGTTTTAATGTTGTGATCTTCTGCCTGGAAGGCATGTGCTGTATCATTGAACCAAACTATGGATCTTCTTCAAACTTGGCGAAGTTCCTACCTGGAAAGTACTTCTGTGTCAGAAACATGTAGATTGTTTGTGTGATGACAACACGTGATTGTAGTTTGCTACACACACACCACGGCTTTCCAACATGTGCAAACCATGCATACACAATGAAGTTAAGTAAATATTCATGTGACCATTAAGCAAAATAACCTAAATGCAGGTTGCACATTATTTACTTCTTGACAACATTTGAGGTGATTAAAGCCATATTAAAGCACCTGCTACTTTTGAGATTCTTCTACATCCAGTTGTCTGTAACCAAAATAGGCCCCTGAACCTCAGCTTTCACATAAACATTGAATATTTATGATTCTGATCAATAGTCACATATCAAACGTTCACCAAATGGCCTTGTATTCTAATTACAGACAATCAATGTTTCCTTCCATGGGTGGATCATCAGCCAATACAGCCTTCACAATTTAATCTGTGATATCAAAATAAGTTATTAATTTTGTGATATCAAAATACAGGTTATTAGCCTTGTCAGTTTTGGCACATTATCATATGATAACAAATTAATGTATGTTGTAAAGTGGTGAGTGGCAGACATTTATGAATTAAATAGCACAGGACATCTACAGCATGATGAATCAGACACATAGGATTCCACTGAATGCCAAGTAAAATATATACTGGAATGTAGTTATAAATTAAAACCTTTTCGTTAAAAAAAATAGTTTTTTAGAAAAGAAACAACAAATTCAAGATGATGATCTGTATTTTCCTTCCTTCCTTCCTTCCTTCCTTCCTTCCTTCCTTCCTTCCTTCTGTATCCTTTGCATTTCTTACTTCTCTAAATTTTGTGGTACAGTACTGTTTTGTTTTAAATAACAAAATGTGTTAAAAATAGAATGAACTATTTTTAGAAATGTATACACTGAGGCAAAATATTTATGCCAATAAAGGCCAATAATAATAAACAAATGCAAGACATGTATTTTGTGATAGTGTGTATTTCAACATGAATTTTTGTATTAATTTTTCTTTTTTTAAGTATTAGATTATTGCAGAAATGGTATGTGATGGATTTATAGATGATCATCTGGAGATAGCTATAAAGTAGGTCACCCAAGACTGACAAGCATAGTCACCCAATCAAGTAGTGGGTCCAATGATGCTAAACTGGGTTTTGAAAAGAAAAAGCCACTCATCTATTGGAAATGGAAATGATTTGAATAATGAAATCTTTATTAATCTCAAAACTTGGCCTGCGGTTGTTTTTGTATTGAAACCCAGATTTCTTGCTTCAAGTTTTGCATAATTAGAATGCAAATTCTCTTTCTCAGTGCCTGTCCATCTGCGTACGCCTGTCACTTTAGTGTAATGAATGACACCATATTGCCCAAACCCAATATGAACTGGTGCATTTAAAGGATTTACTGGGATTATATTATGTTACAGCCTTTCAGTGCCCACCTGGCCCAGAGAATATGGATTCTGTAGGCGGGTTCTAATACTTTCAGCTGTTATCACACTTTACGGATAGTAATCACTTGTTTTATGGCTTCTTTTCCAGGTGCCCTTTGGATTATCTACAATACCGTTGGGTTGAGTTTTTAATATCCTGAAATGCTGAGGTCTAAGTGAGAACTGATATATAGCAATGTGTATTTTACCCCTTGATCCTTTGGCTGTGGATTCTAAAACACAGTGCATCCTATGTCGGATCAAAGTGTGAAGTTACATCTGTTCTTCAGTCTGGCTTAAGATATCACCCCAAAGAGAAAAGGAAAAGAAAGAACAATGCCAGCAGAATTTGTGTAGTTTAATCTCTGCTGGCATGCGATGCAAATTCTTCAGGACAGACCACAAATATTTGAAGGTCTCTCGTTCATACCAGGACACAATGGGACTGAAAATGGGATCATGAACACCTGGAAAAGCCACAGACCCAGAGTGAAGGGGTTAAAGGAAGAAAACTCTTAAGGGGATGGTAAATGTACACTCTCAAGACAGCTGCTTCAGGACTTGGAACAAAAGCTCTTAAAGAAGCAGCTTAAACAAAAATATGAGAAGTCAACATCACCTCTCCTTAAAAGAGGCACTTCTACCAACTCTTGTCAGTTTTCATAGGGAGAAGAACTTTAAAAAAAGATGAGTGTGCCACACTTGAATATTAAGAGAGACCTTAACAACACCACCACCACCCAGTGTGGTATAGTTCACAAGACTGAGCAGAGCTGGGTTCAAATCCTTCATAAACTATTTAACTCAGTGGGTGGCACATTCTCTCTACCAGAGTTTTTATGATAGCAAATAGAGAAGTCACTCCTAGCTCCATAGCAAAATATGATAGAAATGTAGTTGTGTCATTTGCAGTAGTGTTAATGCTAACTTTTGATTGCTGCATTAAATCTAACATTACTTCGGTTGTGGTTATTTCTAAAGTGAAATCACAATAAAGTCATGATAAACTTTCAAAACACTAAGTTAATTTGACGGCAAATAAATTAATTGGACCACAAATAAGTTAATTGGACTGCATATCAAAAAGCCAGGGATGTCTTGTTGTTTTATCAAAGTGTAATTTTATTGTCTGCTTTCACCACAGCTGCCAACAGGATACTTACGTAATTGCTCTGATTGCCACAACCTTACCTAAATTGTTTATCTCTGTTAATCTGTGTTCATCATCACTCAGAGAGCTGAGACAGACAACTCTCATCCCCACGTTTGTAGGAATCAGTTAGAAAGGCTGTTGCCATGTACCCAATTAGTGTCTGTCCCCTGACCAGAAAAGGAACTGGTAATAAGGATGATATCAAAGCTTGAATGCAATATATATTCCACTGAAGCCCATGAGCAAACTTGGGTATGAATCTGGATTGCTCAGGGCCACAATGAAGCCTGTGAT